TGTACCAATTTGGAGGCAAATTCTCTGCTTTGGTAGCTTCGTAATCTACATTGTTGTCATCATAATCTTCAGCAATAATTTCCTCCTCCGCGCCTGTTTTATTTAAGCAGAAAAAGTTGTTACACAAGAAATGTAAAATGCAAAACAGAGCAAGAATGTATCCAGTTACTTGTCCCAGGTTGTAACATCTAGACAGCTACCTTCTTTTGGTTTGAAAATCCCTCTCTTGGCCAGGCGAGCCAGGAGTGCCGGAGGTAGAGGCATGCTGAATTACAGGATTGAGGATTACTGTAATGCAGCGCTGAATGATTATCAGAAAAGAAGAGACAGAAAAATCATCAAACACGGACATCAAACCTGTATATTTGATAGGCTGATGCCAATTAACAGATCTGAGCATGCACTGAAGGTAGTTTTATCAATCAAGAGATTAAAAAGAGATAAAAAAAAAAAAAGCATCAAAACAAGACAGCCAGATTCTGAAACAATTTTTACCCATGGCCATCCGACAGCTTAACACTATTAATTTCTCCTCCTGCTCTCTGCACAGTGGACTGTACCCATAAACTGTTTTAAGAACCTATTATAGTGAAATATATCTCACTGAGCAAAGTGCAATATTTGATTGTTGTCTTTATGTATGATGACCGTGTCCCGCGAGGTACACTGTGGGGGTGCTCCGTGAGTATGAGATTGGGGGGCCGATGCTACGGGCTGTTCAGTCCCTGTACAAGCAGCGCGATAGATTAGTTCGCATTGCCAGTAGTAAGTCGGACCCCCTCAGGGTGGGAGTTGGACTCTGCCAGGGCTGCCCATTGTCACCGATTCTGTTAACTTTTATGGACAGAATTTCTTGGTGCAGCCAGGGGGAGGAGGGATTCCGTCTCTGCTCTTTGCAGATGATGTGGTCCTGTTGGCGTCATCGTGCCATGATCTTCAGCTCTCACTGGAGCAGTTCACAGCCGAGTGTGAAGCAGCTAGGATGAGAATCAGCACCTCCAAATCTGAGGCCATGGACCCTCAGTCGGAAAAGGGTGGATTGCTCTCTTCGGGTCGAGGTTCTGCCTAAGTGGAGGAGTTCAAGTATCTCGGGGTTTTGTTCATGAGTGAGGGAAGAATGGAGCGTGAGATTGACAAGCGGATTAGTGCCACGTCTGCAGTATTGCGGACTCTGTTGTTCTGTTTTGGTGAAGAGAGAGCTGAGCTGTAAGGCAAAGCTCTCTGTTTACCAGTCAGTCTATGTTCCTACCTTCACCTATGGTCATGAGCTCTGGGTAGTGACTGAAAGAATGAGCTCACAGATACAGGTGGTTGAAATGAGTTTCTTCTACACTGGACTCTCCCATAGACATAGGGTGAGAAGTTCATTTATCTGGGAAAGTCTCGGAGTAGAGCCGCTGCTCCTCCACAATGAGAGGAGCCAGTTGAGGTGGTTCGGGTGTCTGGTAAGGATGCTTCCTGGGCACCTCCAACTGGGAGGAGACCCCTGGGAAGACCCAGGACACGCTGGAGATACTTTGTCTCTCGGTTGGAACGCCTTGGGGTCCTCCCAGAAGAGCTGGAAGTGGAAAGAGATGTCTGGACCTTCCTGCTCAAACTGCTGCCCCCAAGAACCGACCTCGGAATAAGAGGAAGATAATGGATGGACGGACGGTCTTTATGTATTAATTTTATTTAAAGAACCCTCATACTTTCTGCACACATTATGCCCGGCTGTCTGTCTATTTTACAGTTAAAATTTGCACAAAATCCAACAGGAACCTTGCGGGAACATTTCTGAAAGTTAGGAACAACTGTAAAGTAGAACGGGATTTTTAGTATTTACTGTGTAAATTCTAAAAATCCCGTTCTACTTTTTTCTTTAAAACTTTAAAAACGATAACGAATACAGCCTGTTTAACATACTTTTAGTTGCTCGAGTTCTTTCTTCTTTAATATAGAAATTATCTTTTTTTTTAAATCAGTATTAATGTGTTCTAAAGTAAAATTTATTTCCACAAACTGCAGGCATGCTCAGTCTGAGCTAAAGGTGTTAGCAATAGCTTCGCGATTAAAGCAACAAGGTCAGGAAGGCCGCGCTGTGACAAGAAAACAGCTTCTACAACAGCCAAAAATGGTAACTATTTATACGAATAATAAAGATTTTTAAAAATCACGTTTACCTGTTCTAAAGAAATGTGGTCTGTTCAACGTCGGGAGCAGAGTGAATGATAGCAACAAAAATAAATAAATAAAACTCAGGGCGCACAAAAATGACGTCACATCGCCTTCGCGACTGAAACGAGCATGGAGGGATATGGCCGAGAACCTTGGTAAGGTTAGCTTTTAATTCTTTCTTTTTTGTTGTAGTTTAAAAGCAGCCAATACATAGTGTTGTTTTTTAACATATATATTTTTTAAATTAGCGACTGTGAACAGACGATATAAGACATGTTTAGTGGAAAGAAAAAGTTGTTCAAATGCATTCAAAGGTTATCAGTCTGTTAGCATCAACCATATTTATTACTGTAACTTAACAAAATATTACTTACAGTTATGGTTAGCTTAAATCGCGTATTAAATTGTTTATTTGTCTACATTTCACAAACACCATAGCAAGGCATAGAATAATTTAGGTTTTGTTTTTCAAATCATTTGAATTTATAAAAAAAAATACAAAGACAGAAAACATGTTTAGTTTTGATGTCATGAAAATTATCATGCAGTTATGAAAGAGAAATTAAATTTCACAGTTCTGTACTTGATCTGTTTAGGCTTTATCTGTTTTTTTATTTAATATTATTGTTATTGCTATTAATATTGTTGTTATTATTACTGGGGACGGTGGTGCAGAGGTTAGAGAAGGCGAGCCTGTGCTTGAGAGGCTGCCAGTTTGAATTCCGACTGTTACATCAAAAATGTGGGTGAGAAAGGTTATTCACCCAAAGATGGTGTTTATTGTCTTATTATGTGCACAGCACTTTGGTCCTGTGGGTGTTTAAAGTGCTCCATAAATAAAGCTGGTATGGTATTGTCCTGTTACGAAATGCCCTCGCTGGACAAAAACAAACAATTCTAACATGTTTTAGTGATTACTGGATTTGCATCATGTGTCTTTTCTCGGGTGAATTTCTCTCCAGTTAGTCTTTTCATGGTATGTTATTATGCCTCCATCTTTCTGCGCCTCCCTGCAGCCCCTGGAGGATTGTGGATGACTGTGGAGGAGCTTTCACGATGGGTGCAATCGGAGGAGGGGTGTTTCAGGCAATCAAGGGCTTTCGAAATGCCCCTGCTGTAAGTTCAAAATGTCTGCTCGCTGGCTAGTAATTCTTTTAAGCATTTATTAATCGTTAATTGTTTCACTCAGGGTGTTGGACACAGATTAAAAGGAAGTGTGAAAGCAGTGAGAGTAAGAGCTCCACACATTGGAGGTGAGACAGTCTTGTTTTTTCACAAGGAAATACTTTCACTGTGTTGTCAATGTACTAAATGCAGCATGTTTTTCAATATTTAGTCACAACAGGATGTTTTCGGGTGGCTGGATTTTTAAAATTTTAACATCTAACTGAATGATTTTATTTTAGTCCTTGTGTAGTTAGTCAGTCTTCCCAGCATTGGCTTGTTAATATTTCTAGGTAGCTTTGCTGTGTGGGGCGGGCTCTACTCTACAATCGACTGTAGTTTAATTCGCCTGAGAGAGAAAGAGGATCCATGGAACTCCATAACAAGTGGTGCACTGACAGGAGCCATCTTAGCAGCACGCAGTAAGAGCAAACTCCAAAAGCTCTTTAAGCTTGAAAAACTGTCCTATTTGAATGAACACAGTAACTCCAAACACTTGTTTCATGGGTTTTTTTTTTAAATCAGATGGACCATTAACCATGATGGGCTCAGCCATGATGGGAGGAATTTTGCTCGCTCTCATTGAGGGTTTTAATATTCTTCTAACCAGATCCACAGCACCACAGTTCCAGAATCGTGAGTCATACTCAATGAGTTTTTAAGCAACATTTTTGTGTGACATACAGTGGTGTTTGAAAGTTTGTGAACTTTAGAATTTTATATATTGCTGCATAAATATGACCTAAAGCATCATCAGATTTTCACACAAGTCCGAAAAATAGATTAAGTCAGAGTCAGAGTTTCTTTATTGTCATTCGCACCTCATGTGGTACATGTGGTGGAGCGAAATTATGTACACAGGGTCCCAGTTACATCCAACAATGAAATTTAAAAGAAAAACAGTAATAAAATCTAAGATATGAACTAAGAAAAACATCAACTAACTATACACTACATACATACATACATATACATATATATTAAAAGAGCCCAGTTCTAAGAATTATTAAAAGAGCCCAGTTAAACAAATGAGACAAAAATATTATACTTGGTCATTTATTCATTGAGGAAAATTATCCAATACATCAGTCCCTCGCTACTTTACAGTTCGTTTATTGCGGACTCTCTCTATCGCAGTTTTTCAAAATAAGATTGGACATGACACACAAGTGGCTGATTGATGGATAAGCTGCACGATTGGCATGACATTTTTATTTAAAATACATTTTTTTAATTATTTAGCACCTGCTGCACATTTGTGCAGACCATACTGCTGCTTCCTGCTGCAGTTAAACAGCTGATCAGCCTGCAGAGCAGAGAAGTGGGTGTGGCCAAGAGCGCTTGCAGGTGGCAAAGAGCAGAGGAGGAAGGGAGCTGAAATCATGAGTTTTTCACTTATCGCGGGTCTTCAGGGTACAGATCCCCTGCAATAAATGAGGGACTACTGTATTAGAGCTGTCATTTCTAACCCAAGCCCAGCCCCACCTGACCCAAATTCTGGGCGGGCCAGGCCATGATAATGTGCTGGATGGGCGGGCTGGGTCGGTGTTGGGCTTTTAATTGGGTCAAGATCAGCTGTGATCCAATTATATGTTAACATGGCCTGCCATACATTCACCAGCCGCATGCGACCATTTCAATGACTGGCCTTGAAAGAGGTAAAAAGTTCAGTTAAGCTTCAGATGGGACTGTACTGCCAGGAAGCGATCCATCTCCCAAATGGACGTTCATTCAGCCGCTGCACTCAGCGAACGCGCGCGGCCGACGACCCAAACAGGTGAGATCCCAAAGCAGACGTGTCAGAGCAGGGTCCATGAATAAATCAGAATGCAGGCAGAAACAGGGTTTAAATGCTTTTATACGGCCATGAAAGTACAAACACCCTCAGCTCCTATCTTCTGATTTCATTCAGCCGCGTGCATGCAGCCGACTACCCAAACAGGTGTCAAGAGCGGTACAAGTCTGAATAAATCAGAATGCAGGCAGAAGCAGGAATTAAATGCTCTTTTACGGCCATGAAAGGACAAACATCCCCTCAGCTTTGATCATCTTCCCTTAATTCAGCCGCACGTCCCCGACCGTTAATAACTAATAAAAAATGTCTGTTATTTTACGGGTTCAGACCTGTAATTACTGTTAATTTGTTGGGTTGGGTGGGGTTTGGAAATTATGACTGCGAGCTGGGGCCGGGTCAGATTGGATTTTTTGGGCCCGAATGCAACTCTATTCTGTGTTACATATTTGCGAGTGGTTAAAGTATGTGAACCTCTAAGATTGTTAGTTAATTTGAAGGTGAAATTAGAGTCAGGTGTTTTCAGTCAATGGGATGATGATCAGGTGTGAGTGAACACCCTGTTTGATTTAAAGAACAGGATCTATCAAAGTCTGCTCTTCACATGTTTGTGGAAGTGGATCATGGCAGGAACAAAGGAGATTTCTGAGGAGCTCAGAAAAAGAGTTGTTGATGCTCATCAGGCTGGAAAATGTTACAAAACCATCTCTAAAGAGTTTGGACTCCACCAATCCACAGTCAGACAGACTGTGCACAAATGGAAGAAATTCAAGACCATCGTTACCCTCCCCAGGAGTGGTGGACCAACAAAGATCACTCCAAGAGCAAGATGTGGAATAGTCAGCGAGGTCACAAAGGACCCCAGGGTAACTTTTAAGTAACTGAAGGTCTCTCTCACATTGACTGATGTTAATGTTCTTGAGTCCACCATCAGGAGAACTCTGAACAACAATGATGTGCACGGCAGGGTTGAAAGGAGGAAGTCACTGCTCTCCAAAAAGAACATGGCTGCTCCTCTACAGTTTGTTAAAGATCACGTGGACAAACCAGAAGACTGTTGGAAGAATGTTTTGTGGACAGATGAGACCAAAGTTGAACTTTTTGGTTTAAATGAAAAGTGCTCTGTTCAGAGAAATGCAAACTGCATCCCTGCACAAGAAGCTTATCCCATCTGTGAAACATGCTGGTGGTAGGATCATGGTTTGGGCCTGTTTTCCTGCATCTGGGCCAGGAAGGCTTGTCATCATTGATGGAACAATGAATTCTGAGTTACAGTAGTCCCTCGTTTATTGTGGGGGATCCGTACAAGCCCCACAATAAGTGAAAAACCGCGAAGTAGGGATACAGTAGTCCAAGTTCAAGTACAGTAAACTTTATATTAAGGCTTTAGAAACCCTTCACACACTCTTGGAATGTTCTAAACTCTTAAACCTACATCATTTTAACAACTTATATTACTAAATTTTACTTACTAGCTTTGCAGAACAGCAACAGCTCTGGTTCCGGTCCAACTCTGTTTTATTCAGATTCCTTTCGTTTCGTCAGACCTATCCTGCAGCAATGAAGCCCACAATCAGTCCTCTAAACTCTTAAACCTACTAATTTTAACAACATACAGTACTTATATGTACAGGAGCTACACATTTTTACTTACCAGACCCTGCAGTACAGAAGAGGCTCGGTTCCGGTCCGACCCAGTAGATGAAAAAACGTCCCGGTACAGCATGACTGAAGCTCACTGCTCCATCCAGCTTGATGTGTGTGTGCTGTTGCCCAGGATTTAGTCCACCACCTCTGGCCCAGTCCGGACTAGCACCACACAACCAGAACCTGACTGAACCCTGCAACCGTCTGTCGTCTGCAGCTCCCAGGACCCGAGCCACTCTGATTCTAGATCAACTGATTCTAGATCAACTGCAGCCCAGCTACTCAGCAGTGAAGATGCAACTTTAAGGATGAGTTCATCTTGAGAATTATTTGTGACTTTCTTGCCAGTCTTATAAGCATATCCTTACAGAACTTCTGACTTTGGTTGCAAAACTTTCCCTACATTTGCAGCAAGCAGTGGTTGAAAGAGCAGTGGTGGCTGAAGTGAACTGAAGGCTTCTGGGTAACATAGTTCTTTAGACTGGCAAAACAGTGAAGGCGTAATGAAAGATAACTATAAAATGGCAGCGCATTATTATTATTATTTTTAAAAAAAAATTATGTACATGTACAGTACTTAAGAAAATAACGTGATAGAGCGAGCCCATGAAAAGCGAACCGCCAAGTAGCAAGGGACTACTGTACATCAGATAATTCTAAAGGAAAATGTCAGGACATCTGTCCGTGAACTGAATCTCAAGAGAAGGTGGGTCATGCAGCAACAATGACTCTAAACACACAAGTCATTCTACCAAAGAATGGTTCAAGAAGAATAAAGTTCATGTTTTGGAATGGTCAAGTCAAAGTCCTGACCTTAATCCATTCCAGATGTTGAGGAAGGACCTTTAAGTGAGCAGTTAGCGGAAACCACCAACATCCAGAGTTGAAGCTGTTCTGTACAGAGGAATGGACTAAAATTTCTCCAAGCTGGTGAGCAGGACTGATCAACATTTACTAAATGCAGTTGGGGATTGTCACACCAGATACTGAAAGCAAAGGTTCACGTACTCGTACCACTTACAAATATGTAATATTGGATCATTTTCCTCAATAAGTAAATGACCAAGTATAATATTTTTGTCTTATTTGTTTAACTGGGTTCTCTTTATCTACTTTTAGGACCTGTGTGAAAATCTGATGATGTTTTAGGTCATATTTATGCAGAAATATAAAAAATTCTAAAGGGTTCACAACCTTTCAAGCACCACTGTAATTCAATATAATCTACATGAAAAATACAGGTACTTGGTACTTATAAAACTGTTATATCGATACTTAAAATTTTTTGGCACAAAGAGCTTTTACGGTATGAAAAACACCTAAAAGCTGAAGGGATCAACAGAAATCTGACATCAGAATCTGTGTTTTTACTCTAACTTTTTGTGACTTCTTCAAAAGAGACTGGATGTTTACAACACCAAAAACTTTATTAAAGAGTAGACCTGGACCCTGTTGTTTAGTCTGAGATCACAAGAAAAGCCTGAGAATTTAACCTTGTTGTTTCTGCTCGTTTTCTTCAGCCGTTCCCTTTGCAGATGATCCCAGTCAGCTACCTCTAAAGGAAGGAGATCCTCATCAGCCTCAGGGGTTAAAGGGGTGGTTTCGCTAGAGAGCATTAAAAGACTCTGGCATAAGATGGACACAGTGAGCCAAACCAGAGCTTTACAAGAAGCCAACACTGCTGTCAGGAGGATTAGGGGCGGACATGATGCCGGTGACAAGTAGCTACACTTTGTTCTCGTACCTACAGGTGCATCTCAAAAAATGCTCTTGTCACTCATTTCAGAAAGTGAAACTCACGTTACATAGATTCATTACACTTAGACTGAAATAGTTCAAGCCTTTTATTTGAAAAAAACTCAGTGACTCCATAAATTAGGATATTCCACAGGCAGCTGTTGGTACCTTTGTCAGTGTGGGCAGGAGCCAAGTCCTTCTGGAAAATGAAAGCAGCATCTCCATGAAGCTGGTCAGCAGAAGGAAGCATGATGTCTCTAAAATGTCCTGCTAGATTCTGTGGACTGTGGACTTCAGAAAACCCAGTGGACCAACACCAGTAGAGGACATGGACCCAAACCATCACTGACTGAGGAAACTTCACTCTGGACTTCAAAAAAACATGGATTCTGGACCTCTCCAGTCTTCCTCCAGACTCTGGGACCTTGATTTATAAATGATATAAACATTTACTTTAATCTAAAAAGAGGACATTGGACCACTGAGCCACAGTCCAGTTCTTTGTCTCCTCAGCAGGTAAGACACTTCTGATGTTTCTGGTTCAGGAGTGGCTGGACTTCAGGAATGAGACGTTTGTAGCTCATGTCCAAGAGTTAATCAGCTGATCAGGCTGTGACACCAGGAGTTAAAATATTGAACCTCTTCACAATATTCTAATTTTCTGAGACACCGAGTTTAGTTTTTCATTATCTGTAAGCCATAATCATCAAAATTACAAGAAATAAAGGCTTGAAATATTTCACTCTGTGTAATTTATCCCTGAGTTTCACTTTCTGAAACGAGTGACAAAGAAAATATAACTTTTTCATGATACTCTAACATTTTAGATGCACATGTGAAGTTCAGTGATTATGATTGAAATTTTGCATTTGAGCAAAGTTCCTTCTGATAAACCTCATACTTGCATAAAGAGATGTACAACATTTTCTGTTCTCATGTGGAGGAGTGTGTTATTGCTGTGACCTTTATGTTTAAACATCTCATTGGAGATTTATGTATTAATAGATTTAATGATTTAAATAAATCCAACATCAGGTAGGTTTATTTGTGTTGCTGTAAAGAATCAGGAGAACATTTAAAGCTCTTTACAGACGCAAACGGATGCTTTCATGTACAAACCAGATTCCAAAAAAGTTGGGACACTAAACAAATTGTGAATAAAAACTGAATGCAATGATGTGGAGATGGCAAATGTCAATATTTTATTTGTAATATAACATAGATGACAGATCAAAAGTTTAATCTGAGTAAATGGAACATTTTAAAGGAAAAATATGTTGATTCAAAATGTCACAGTGTCAACAAATCCCAAAAAAGTTGGGACAAGTAGCAATAAGTGGCTGGAAAAAGGAAATTGAGCATATAACGAACAGCTGGAAGACCAATTAACACTAATTAGGTCAATTGACAACACGATTGGGTATAAAAAGAGCTTCTCAGAGTGTCAGTGTCTCTCAGAAGCCAAGATGGTAAGAGGATCACCAATTCCACCATTGTTGCGCAGAAAGATAGTGCAGCAATACCAGAATGGTGTTACCCAGCGTCAAATAGCAAAGACTTTTAAGTTATCATCATCAACCGTGCATAACATCATCAAAAGATTCAGAGAATCTGGAACAGTCGCTGTGCGTAAGGGTCAAGGCCATAAAACTCTACTGGATGCTCGTGATCTCCGGGCCCTTAAACATCACTGCACCTCAAACAGGAATGCCACTATCAAGGAAATAACAGAATGGGCTCAGGAATACTTCCAGAAAGCATTGTCAGTGAACACAATCCACCGTGCCATCTGCTGTTGCCAGCTGAAATTCTACAGTGCAACGAGGAAGCCATTTCTAAGAAAGCTCCACAAGCTCAGACGTTTGCACTGGGCCAGGGGTCATTTAAAATGGAGTGTGGCAAAATGGAAGACTGTTCTGTGGTCAGATGAGTCACGATTTGAAGTTCTTTATGGAACACTGGGACGCCATGTCATCCGGACCAGAGAGGACAAGGATAGCCCAAGTTGTTATCAACGCTCCGTTCAGATGCCTGCATCACTGCTGGTATGGGGTTGCATGAGCGCTTGTGGCATGGGCAGCTTGCATGTCTGGAAAGGCACCATTAATGCAGAGAACTATGTTCAGGTTCTAGAACAACATATGCTCCCATCTAGACGTCATCTCTTTCAGGGAAGACCCTGCATTTTTCAACACGATAATGCCAGACCACATTCTGCAGCAGTCACAACATCATGGCTACGTAGGAGAAGGATCCGGGTACTGAAATGGCCAGCCTGCAGTCCAGATCTTTCACCTATAGAGAACATTTGGCGCATCATAAAGAGGAAGGTGCGACAAAGAAGGCCCAAGATGATTGAACAGTTAGAGGCCTGTATTAGACATGAATGGGAGAGCATTCCTATTTCTAAACTTGAGAAACTGGTCTCCTCTGTCCCCAGACGTCTGTTGAGTGTTGTAAGAAGAAGGGGGGATGCCACACAGTGGTAAAAATGGACTTGTCCCAACTTTTTTGGGATTTGTTGACGCCATGAAATTTGGAAACAACAGAGTTTTCCCTTAAAATGATACATTCTCTCAGTTTAAACTTTTGATCTGTGATTTGTGTTCTATTCTGAATAAAATATTAGATGTTGGCTCCTCCACATCATTGCATTCAGTTTTTATTCACAATTTGTTTAGTGTCCCAACTTTTTTGGAATCCGGTTTGTACATCTGTTTAACAAAGGGACATTTCCTGCTGGGGGTGCTCTGATGTTTGTATTTTAATATATTGACATAGACAAACAGAGAAAATGCCCTGTTGTTAAGTTAGACTGAATAATATCTGGGAGAAAAGTTGTTTATGTTCTCAATAAAACCCTTCAGAGCATCTCTAGAGGTTTGCAGAAGCACAGTTTATTTGTGGATAATCTGCAGCCAACGTTGTCGTTGAGTTATCTTTTCACAAAGACTGGAATCAGGACAAAGCTTTAAATCTGATTATTTACCATAAAATCTCATTAGTTTCACATGTCATGTATAAAACATCATATATGGTGGATTGTGTGCAGGACTTGCTGAAGCTACTCATTTAACTCTCCCTAAGAAAGTGAATAAATTTAAGTCTTTGTTATTACTGATTAATTCCAGAGCCACCAAAGATTTTATTCTTAACACTGATTTCAAATTCAATTCAATTCAAAAATACGTTATTAATCCCAGAGGGAAATGATTTGTTGTAACTCGTTATCCTCATTTCATTAAGAGATGTTATAGATGCTGATGGCTGTAGACAGGAAGGATCTCTTGTAAAGGTCCATCCCACAGTGGATCCTAAGAAACTGGTTGCAGATGCCGTCCAATCCATCCACCCAGACTCGGCTGGCCTCTCGATTCCCCCGGACTGTAGGACCGCCTGAATGCCAGGCAGAACTCCTCCCAGGGCGATGGCCACTCCTCCCAGCAGTCTGCCGAGCTCCTTGTCGCTGCAGACAGCCAACTGTAGGCGCTGAGGGACGATCCTGTCCTTCCGCTGTTAGGAGCTGTGTTTCCTGCTAGTTCCAGGATCTCAGTGGTCAGGCACTTGAGTGCAGCTGGCAGGTAGATGAGAATGCATCCACAGAACATCCTTTTCAACTCATTTGAGATTTGGAGCTGTAGTTGAGATATTATTTGAGCTTTTGAGATGTTAATCAGCTGCTGGTTGTAGAAAACTGCCTTGTTGCCATGGTTACGCATCATAACAAATGTCCAAAACTAAAAAAGTTTCAGTAAAAATCCTTCCAGCTGCACAACATCTGAGACCAGAGGAAACAATCATCCAAAAACTGTGATTTACATCCAGAACTAGAGGAATTAAAGTTTCCAAAAGCAAAATATCAAAATGAAAGTAACAGAGCTGCTCCAACATGCAGCCACCTTGAGCGGCGCAATTTAGTAAAGCTGGTGTTTTAGTGGCTGCCAGGCAGAGGCAAAAGAAAAAAAATCTATTTTATTTATTTATTTAGTTACATGAGATCCTGTTTGCGCAGCAGATTTGAACATAAAAAGTGTTTTTTCTGTTTAAACGTCAGCTCTGAGAACCTGATCCCGTTCTTTTCCTGAATCTTCACTCCTTTATCGCTCCTGAGTCTTCGTTGAGGAAAATATAAGCTCGTGTCTGCAACAAAATATAAAATATGGGTATTTCTTAGAGCGAGTGTAGCTCAAGTTTTACTGTAATTTGGTGCAGTAATAATAATAATAATAATAAAAAACTTTATGAACTCAGAAACAGTTTTTTTCTTATGAAGGCCCAACTTTCCACATAAAGACGTCAATCAACACGATCCACTGACTCACAGCTGAACTTTGTGTAGAGGAAGTGTTTATTTATCCCAACATGTTCATTGTGTAGATGTTTATTAAAGCAATAAAGTTTTTAATGCTATTTAGCAACTTTATTGTGGCTTTTCTTTTGTAGTTGAACTCTGAGTCGGTGTTGAGCAGACTCAAAACCAGCCACTAGGGAGCACAGGCCAGTGTATCTTGTGCCGGTCCAAAGCCCCCAGGTAAAAGGTGAGGGTTCTGTGAGGAAGGGCATTCGATGTAAAATACCTTTGCCAAAATCATAATTTGAGTTCATCAAAGCAAAAACCATACCGGATCGTTTGAGGCCCGGGTTAACAACAACCGCATCATACTACCGCATCAAATTTGAGCTAATTTCTCATTCTGACTGAGTTTTAGCCATTTTGTGTTGGCTATTGTTGATTAGCTGTGGCAGCCATCTTAAATCAGGTCAACTCCAAATCATTGTAAACTCACTTCCTATGATTACTCTCTGAAAGTTTCAATTAAATTCATCCTGTGGTTTGTGAAATATTTTGCTAACAGACAGGAGTTGACTCCAATAATTAATTGCAAAGAAAAAGAAGTAAGTGAGTAGGCTCAGTCACCCAGGTAAATAAATCACAAAAAACGTTAAATCATGTCTTCTGGACAGTTGAGAAACCTACTTTTTTGTTTTTAACCATAGCAGCCTATAACATTTGATTGTTATGCGCCGATGATCAATTGTTTTGTTCTGATGGTGCTCCATTTTACACGTGTAAAGCTGCTGCAGACTGGTTTGAAACACGTCAACAAGATGTTACTTCATACAACAGATTCTGTTGGCAGGCCTCAGACTGATGAAGTCCTTTGGATGAACGATGAAACGTTTTCTTCCAAAACATAAACTGTCCAGATGACATGATTTAACATTTTTTGTGTTAATTGTTAAGTTTGTCAATATCAAATTAGCAATAGTGGGATGTAACTAAGTACAAGTACTTCGTTACTGTACTTAAGTACACTTTTCATGTATCTGTACTTTACTTAAGTAGAGTTAAACATGGGTACATTTACTTTTACTTCACTACATTTTAGATTAAGTATCTGTACTTTCTATTACACTACATTTCTATAATGCGTTGTGTTACAAATTACATTCACGTTGCAACTTTTTTATTTGTTCATTAATTTGAAAGTAACCAATGGCGAGAGGGGAGTTGGTCCATTGAATCAATGCAAAGTGGGCAGGCAACGTTAGACCCACCTTCAAGAAGAGCTATATTCTAGTATTTACATCACTGAGCTGGGTGCACCCACAGCACCGCTAACACACCCAAAATGAATTCCACCGAGGAAAGTCAGCCAGAAGATACAGTACGTGCCACCCATGGCCTTATTGAAAGACTATTGAAAGTCTGTTGAAAGACTATTTAAAGATTATTCAGTACAGCAGGACAGATTCTGTCTCCCAAAAGAGCCAGACTGGACTTAAAAAACTTTGAAAACCAACTTCTTCTGAACTTGAACAAGAAATTCTTGCTGCAATATTAAAATGTGTCAGTTCATGATGTTAGAACAGGAGATGAGAGATGTCTCCAAATGACTTGACACTCAGGTCCAAGTTTTAAAAATGGTGTCAGGAAGTTAAACTATTGTTCAATATTGACCCATTACAAGGTTGAATAGACAGTATTTTAACTAGAGCTGATGACAAACTGGAGTTGAAATGATCAGTGTCTATTCCTTTGTTAGTCGTGTCTAATGTTCCTTTTTTCATCAGACAACTTTTACTTAAATGTGTTGACTGCTGTTAAAATGACACGTTGGTTTTGATTTGTGTTAAATAGAAACTTTCAAAGGTAAAATCATTCCTATTTCTTATTTTGCTTAATGACGTTTAACTCTGCAGGTCATCCCTGAAATTCTGACGCACAGAATCACAAGTCAAAGTGTGAACTGTGTCACAATAAAAACATGTATTATCTGCAGCATCGTTCATTAAAATGGCTCAACACTATTAATGTATTACAGTAAATATACATACGGTAGGCACACTTAAAGATATGTAGACCATTGCATAAGGTAATACATGCAGCAAATACTTTTACTTTTAATACTTTAAGTATTTTTAAAAGCAAGTACTTATTAACTTTTTCTTAAGTAAAAACGTTAATGTGGTACTTCTACTTTTACTAGGGTACATTTTAGTCTGTTTATTTGTACTTTTACTTAAGTAAAGTGTTTGAGTACTTTCTCCATCACTGCAAATTAGTTTGTGCTCAGAGAATGAGTTGGGAGTGACTCTCAGCTACCTCGCCAAATTTTAGCTCAATACAAAATTGACAGCGTTATAGCTGTGTATAAAAAACGGACACGATTTAACCTTGTTGTTATCTACTGGATGATTACATCCCATTTTATTTATAGAGCACTTAAAACAGCACAAGGCCAACCAAAGTGCTGTGCAGACAGATTGATGATTGAGCTTACAACACTTCTTCTGAACCACTTTGGCCTTGGTTGTCCTCAGGCTGTTTCTGTGAGTAACAAGTTGTCCATCTGGCCTAAAACATTTGATTGTTGTACATGAGGGTTGTTTTGGATGCGCGTTTGCTCCGGTTAAACGTCTACTTCTGAGATTCCAACAGGAGGTTGGCATGACACCAGTGCTTCGTATGGGACAGAAGGTTGGCCGTAGACTGAGGAAGTCCTCTGGATAGGGGACGAAACGTTTCTCACTTAAAGAAACTGGTCCAGATGACAGTTTTTGTTTTTATAGCTGTTTGTTTCCCAAGTCCAGTTAGCTGCGGTGGCCATCTTGCATCAGGCTGAAAAGTACATGATGGTTAGCCACCTTCTGCAGGTTTTATTAAAATTTATTCTGTGGTTCGTGAGATATTTTGCTAACAGACAGACACAAACACAGCGAACGAGCACCACCACGTGTGATCAGCTGCTGTGCTCGTGCGCCCCCTGCCGGAAGTTCTGCTGCACTGCACCTTGTTTCTGTCCAGAGTCCTGAAAATAAGTTTCAACTCAGCTTTCCGTGTTGGTTTTCTTCTCCGGACTGTCCGTGTTTAAACTGTGAGTGGGCTCAGAGAGCCTCGGCGTGCCTTCCAGCCTCGCGCTGACAGATTTCCTGTCATCCTTTTAACCGGCTCAACTGCTTTAATCCAGCCGGCTGAGCACGAGGACACTCTGCTGCTCCTCTCAGCTCTCCTTCATTCTCTGCAACAAGCTGCCATGAACTGGACCTCTGCAGCTGTGGACAGAAGAATGACAGGATGCAGACTTTTATTATGTATTTATTTTTATTTATAAGCGTCTTCAGTTCATGTCTGTGATCTGATCAGGGTGCAGCTTTGTGACTTCTTGTTGGGAAACAGGACATGGAGGCTGCAAAGAAAGGTAAGAGTCTGAACACAGGAACTTCATGAAGACCAGAGGAAATACTCTTTAAAATACTGACCTTCAAATTAACACAGCCAGAAAACCTCTAGCTAAACGTCAGTTATTTAAAACAAAGTTAAAATGAGCAAATCATTTTAGCTGAAAGATGAAATCTACAAACTGTACATGTTTTTTTAAAAGGTAAATGTAGCCAAGCTGGAGCTAAAAGCTAAATGAAGCTAGAAGCTCAAGTCAGAAAAAATTGTAGCTAAAGTGTTGCAAAATTAGTTCAAATTTAAAATGCGCTAAACTGTAACTAAAAGTGTAACAAACTAGCTAAAAGCTAAAATTTGCTACAAAAAAGCTCAACTGAGCAAAATCAGAGCTAAAATTAGCAAGAACATAGCTAAACTATAAAGTTAACTAAAGAGCAGCTTAAACAAAAATGTATCAGCAAAAGCTAAAATGTTCAAAACAGCTAAAAGCTTGAATTATCAAATCTCTCAAATGATTATTGTAGCTGAAAGCTCCAAAACTGTGGCTAAACGCTCAAATGAGCAAAACTGAAGTTAAAATCAAAAGTTAACCAAAGTAAAAGTATCTAAAAGCCACAAATAGCAAAACTAGCTAAGTTACAGTTAGTAAAAGCAAAGCTAAAATGAGCAAATAAATTTAGCTGAAAAATGAAATTTACAAACTGTAGAAAAGGTAAATGTAGCCAAACTGGAGCTAAAAGCTAAAACTTCAAAACAAGCTTAAAGCTAAATGAAGCTAGAAGCTCAAGTCAGCTAACATATCTAAAAGTTAAGTTTAGCAAAATTAGTTCAAATTTAAAATGAGATAAACTGTAGCTAAAAGTTTAAATTAGCAACATTGGAGCTAAAAGTGTAAACAAAACTGGCTAAAAGCTAACATTTGCTAGAACAAAGCTAAAGTGAGCACAACAGAGCTACACTTAGCAAGAACGCAGCTAAACTGTAAAATTAGCTAAACAACAGCTTAAACAAAATGTATCAGAACAGTTAGCAAAAGCTAAAATGTTAAAAACAGTAGCTAAAAGCTTGAATTAGCAAAACTGTAGCTTACAGCTACAATAATCAAAACTGTGGCTAAAAGCTCACAGCAGCAAAACTGAAGTTTAAAGCAAAACAAAAATGAGCCAAAGTGTTCTTTAAAGCTGAATGAAGTAAACATATCTAAAAGCCACAATTAGCAAAACTGTAGCTAAAAGCAGCCAAAATAGAGCAAGTATGCTAAAGCTAATTTCTAAGAGAACAATGTTTACGAAGGACTGGAAATTTTTTTAATGTATTTCGATAGGGAATTCTTTGTAAATGTAAATAAATAATAATAAAAGTTACAAAAATCACAAGTCCCAGCACACCGTACCCCATGGAGCTGAACATTTTGATAAATTAATAGTTAAAACAGCAAGTAAGATTGCTAAACTTGTGCAGGAATAACTATAAACAGCTAAATGTTTTTAATGTATGTTTTTTGTGTTTGTTTAGAAAATGCACTGAAATGAAAGCTTCATCAGTTCACTCTAAAACAATCATGTGAGCGTTGTGTCACCCTTCATACAAAGAGCTGAACAGAGATTTTTACATAGTCTCTGTTGGTTTCTGGAGGTCTGCATGGAATAAAACAGGAGAGCTGACAGTGGTTTCTACGTGCCAGTCTTATATTTACGATGATAAAAGTGTGTGTTTAAACCTGAGGCCTTCCTAGCAGGTGTTCACTGGGGACAGGGCTCAGTCCATGCCTGTAAAGAAGTAGGTCACATCTGCTCTTATTGTACGAGACCTGCAGGACGAAACACCTCCGTTACAATCTGATATAATTAAACCCGTGTTAGATAATATCACACGGGCTGACACAAGTGATGAGTCAGCTGACAGAAGAACAAACAGAGTTTTGTTTAAAGTTTTTTCAAAGGCCATTAACAAGATCTCCTCCATATTTAAAAAAAAACAAACCTAAGTTTCCCACATATCACAATCAGATGCAAAGGTGTGATCTTTCTGCATTGTTTTCTTTCAACTTGAACTTTAAAGGACTTTTTTATTTATTTAATCAACCTGTTTTATGCTTAAAGAAAAAAAAAAGACTAAATAACAGAAGAATCAGGTGTGTTTAACTACACCCACTGTGCAAAAACTAAATCAAACCACTTAACGCAAGAAACTTAGTTAAATTAAGTGAAAATAAATTATTAAAGTCCAAACTTTTTCTCCAGTCATGACTAGTTTTAAATGCACCCCCATAGCATGATACTGCCACCACCATGCTTCATTGTGGTGATGGTGTTCTCAGCATGATGAGAGCGGGTGCTGTGGATTTAGGACAGGCGTTTAGTTGTCCTTCACAGCTAAATGTTTAATTTTAAGCTCATGTGGCCACAGCAGCCTGCTCCACGTTGACTGGGGAGTCTCCAGTTTGACAAGTTCTCAATGATTTTCCCTGTTTTCCTCATTAATTAAAGTTTCCTTTCCTGGCCACCTTTCCATGAAGTGCAGCTCTGGACAGCTCTCTGAGGTCCAGATCATTCCCACTGTGCAGAAGAGCTGCCCAGCTCCATCAAGGTTTAGAATATTTCTACAGCCTAACCCTGAGCTGTACTTCTCCACAACTTTGTCTCTTAACTTGTGTGGAGGGTTCCTTGGTCTTCATGTTGGCTCTTGCTTAGTGGTAGTTCTTATTATTTAGAGGTGTGGCACTGGTGTTATGAGAACAGGAGTATGAGCACTGAGATAATGAAACGTAGATCGCCCACAGGTAGATCTTTTTAACCAAATATGTGACTTTTGAAGGTAAATCAAAGAAAAGTAACATTTTTCAGATTTATATGTCTTTCCCGGCGGATGTCAAGGTGGTGCAGGTGATAGAGCTGTCGCCTCTCAGCGAGAAGGTCACCAGATTGAATCCCGGCCAGGGGCCTTTCTGTGTAGAGTTTGCATGTTCTCTCTGTGCTTACGTGGGTTTTCTCCTGGTACTCCGGTTTCCTCCCACAGACAAAAAACATGCATGTTAGACTAATTGGTGACTCTACAGCAGGGGTGTCCACACTTTTTCAGCATGCGAGCTCCTTTTAAAGTGACCAAGTCAAAGTGATCTACTATAAGGCCCCGTTTACACAGAACAGCCTCTGGAAACATTAGTGTTTTTTCACTGTTTATTGGGGTTAATAAAATTTTTTACATTTATCTGGCAACCCTGATGCAGGGCTCAGCTGCATTCATTGCACATGCAGCGTCTGCATGACAGTTAGTCCAAACTGGTAAATAGACTAATGTAACTTTGGAACTGGATTTTATTAGTTTTGCTCCTACATGCTGAAAAAGAGTGAGCAGCACAAAACACTCTGCTCTCTGCCATTCATTAAAACTGTTGTTAGTGCAGAACAACTTTGGACTGCACCGCCTGTAGTGCACATGTGCCACTTCACAAGTGGAGCATTTCACACCTCCATGAAGGGTTCCCCTGAAAATCTCCACTCTGAGACCTGGATTGAGAATCTTTGGTTTCAGGGAGAATGAGGACTGGCTGCCCTGAATGTCAATCAAGTGACTAATTTCATAGATGGATGGTAGGCTGATGTCTATTTTTATAATGTCATGCGGTCTACCCATAATACCTTTGCGATTGACTGGTAGATTGCAATGAAGGTATTGGGCACCCCTGCTCTTAATTGTCTCTAGGTGTGAGTGAGAGAGTGAATGGTTGTTTGTCTCATTTGTCTCTATGTGTTCCTGTGATGGACTGGAGACCTGTCCAGAGTGTCCCCCGCCTCTTGCACAGTGATGGTATGGGCACCAGTGACCCCCATGCCATGACCCAAAATGGAAGAAGTGGGTAAAGATAATGGATGGATGGATGGATGGATGGATATCTTCCCCATTTTGCTTTGTCAATCTGGAAGTGTTATGCAAATTAAAAATCTGTTTAAATTCCAGGTTGTAAGGCAGAGAAACACTGAGGGAGCAGGACTGGTCTGTGAATTCTCCTGCAGCATATTTCATGTTGGACTTTTTTCTCGTACCTTTTTGTGTACAGATGTCCCGCCTTTGGGGGAGGCGGGCAAATCCGACACCCTCGGATCAACTGGCTCGGCCAGGAAACGAGGAGGGGGGGCCAAGAAAGCAATGCAGGCCAACAAGTCTGCGCTCAGGGCCCCCCGAGCCCTTTGCTGCCTCACTCTGAGCAACCCCATCCGCATGGCAGCCTTGGCCCTGGTGGAGTGGAAATATCCTTTGTCACTTGTTGCTGTTTAGCATTGTGTGTGTTTTTTCTCATGTCACATTTAGATGTTGAGATGTTTATCGTGTGGAAGAACTCCTGAAGCCCGATCAAACCTTAACTACCATTCCCAAGCCTTTTGATATTTTTATTCTACTTGCCATTTTTGCCAACTGCGTGGCCATGGGTGTCACAAAGCCGTACCCAGACGATGACTCCAACGCAACCAATCACCAGCTTGTGAGTTCCTCAAAGAAACCAGTGACATGGCATAAATTAAAGTCGGCTGCTAAGAAACTATGAATGAACTGCTATGATGTGGCATTTCTACGACTATATTATCAACTTAAAAAACATCTGCAGACATTTTGAAAAGTTGTAAGCAGGTTCTAGTTACTTCATTCCAGCAGAATTCAGCTACTGCAAGACGTTTCTACTTCCATTAGACTTTATCTATACCCCCCCCCCCCAACACACACACACACACACACACACACACACACACACACCCACACACACACACACACACACACACACACACACCCTATTTCCTAATTCACAACTAAAGCATCAGTTTAATAGTTACAATAAAACATTCCTAAATTGAGCTTTTTTTAAATCCTGAAAACAAAAAAGATACAAACTGAAGTCTCCCTCCAGTTCTGTTTTTATGGCAGCTTAAGAACTTTGACTGAAATGTTACAAGATCACATTAAGAGCAACATGATGTCACATGTATAAATCAAAAATGTTTTTATTCTTGAAGACTCAAACCAGTTCATATGGAGGATATGAACATAAACTTAAAGCAAAAAGCTTTGATCACATAGCTTTTATATCAGACGATTGATCAAAGGTTTTCTCTTGAAACTACACTGCCTGACCAAAAAAAAAAAATCACCACCAAAAAAAAAAAGTCACACACTAATGTTTCGTTGGACCCCCTTTAGCTTTGATTACAGCATGCTTCTCTGTGGCATTGTTTTGATAAGCTTCTGCAATGTCACTAGATCTATTTCCATCCAGTGTTGCATTAATTTTTCATCAAGATTTTACATTAATGACTAGACACTTGGCATGTTGGGTGCATCACTTCACCTGCCTCTCTTCTTACCCTGATGCACTCATCACCCTGGAACAGGGTAAATCTGGACTCATCACACCACATGACCTTCTTCCATTGCTCCAGAGTCCAATCTTTGTGCTCCCTAGCAAATTGAAGTCTTTTTTTCCAGTTAGCCTCACTGATTAGTGGTTTTCTTAAGGCTACACAGCTGTTCAGTCCCAATCCCTTGAGTTCCCTTCACATTGTGCGTGTGGAAATGCTCTTACTTTCACTATTAAACACAGCCCTGAGTGCTACTGTTGTTTTTCTTCGATCTGATTTCACCAAACATTTAAGTGATTGATTGCTGATCACGATCATTCAGGATTTTTTGTGGCCACATTTCTTCCTGAAAGACGATGAGTCCCCACTATCCTGTTATACTATAACAGACAAGTCTTTCAAATCTATCAAATCTTTTCCACGACCACACGATGTGTCTTTCAACATGGTTGTTTAAGAAATGAGAAGCAACTCATTGCACCAGTTGCGGTTAAATAACTTGTTGCCAGCTGAAAGATAATCACCCATGCAGTAATTAAACAATATGAGGCTCGTACCTATTTGCTTATTTAAATCCAGGTGGCAACATTTTTTTTGGCCAGGCAGTGTATAAAAACCATAACAATATGAAAAACACTTGAACCCTTTTTTATATTTTGTTTACTTTCACACGTTTTTATTTCCAAGGCTCGACACACACTAAGAGAAGGTATCTGGAGAGTCAGAAAAGGTTTTATATATATGTTGTTTTTCTTTCGGGTGCACCCTCTGCGGGGAGCTCCCCAGTGATCAAACTCCCATAACAATTTGTCAATTGTTTTATTCCAGTTGCCCTTATTGATTATAAACTTATGCATCTTCTTCTTTGTTTGGCTTTTCCCTCTTCAGGGGTCGCCACAGCGAGTCATCCTTCTCCATCTCGCTTTGATGAACTCGTATTCTAGTTTTGGCAACAGTGTTTTACGTCGGATGCCCTTCCTGACAACCCTCAACATTTACCCAGCTTGGGACCGGCACAAGAGATACACTGGCTTGTGCTCCCTAGTGGCTGGTTTATATAAGCCTATGTATAAATGGTCATTTTACTAACTTATAAAAGCACAAATGCTTTTAGCTGAAGCAGGAAGCAGAAGTCAGCATCCTTGTGCTTAGTAATGGTGTTAAAAGACAAAAGTGTCCTCAGAGGGGTGAGCCCGTCAGAGATCATGGCTGACTTAAACACCAGCCATCTGCCTCATCTTATTTCCTGTCCTAACTGAGTCACTCTTTGCTACTTGATGATCAAATGCACAGAGATGAGCCGCTCCAAATGTTTACATCAAATAAAACAACTTTATTGTTAATGTTGGTACTTTAACTGAAGCAGTCCATACAGAGTGCAGAAAATAATAAAATTAGGAGTTTGAGTTCAGGTAAGAGAACAACACACAGCAGGATAAATGTGTGTAGAGCCCTTTATTGGATTTGCTAGAGGAGGGACGCTGACCATAAAAGATCTGTTGCAGGGACTCGACGTCTCCTTGGACTTGTTTGTTTGGGGTCAGGTTTTGATCAATGTTCCTGAAGTGGCAAAAAATGCAAACAGTCCTCTTATATTGAAGCACCAACATGTTCTGGATAATCGTGTCAACCTGAGATTAGGTGACGGGGATTAGCAGCCTTACCCTGAAGCTACAGAAACGTGATCTGGGGACAGACTGTGTTAGGCTGTAGGTTAAGAGGTTAGGGAACCAGGCTCTTCAGCTCCTAATGATCAGACAAATTACTTCTCTCCTGGCCCAAATGACTCAGTAACTATGTGCATTTCACCCTAAACTGTGTGGCATTGTGCTGTTTTGTTGTTATTTTCATTGTGAAAATAAAAAAATGTCCATCCCAAACTATTAACTTTTCTTTTGTCATCAGGAACAAGTTGAGTATGTCTTCCTTGTCATCTTCACTATCGAGACCTTCACCAAAATTCTTGCCTATGGTTTAGTCATGCACCCCAGCGCCTACATACGGAGCGGATGGAACTTGCTTGATTTCATCATCGTCATTGTTGGGTAACCCGACTGCTTCACACCATTTCTATCTGCAAATCTGTTTTTTGTCCAATGTTTAGTGTGTATTCTTTTCTGTGGGCAGGTTGTTCAGTGTGATAGCAGAAGGGATGACTGATCATAAGCCAGGAGAGGCCCACCATGCTGCAGGGAAACCTGGAGGTCTGGACGTGAAAGCTCTCAGAGCGTTCAGGGTGCTGCGACCTCTTCGACTTGTATCTGGAGTGCCAAGTATGTTCTTTACTTACTCCACTTTGTTTTGTGTGTTTTTATACCTGTTCTTACAAGTATACCATACCACTTTATTTATAAAGCACTTAAAACAGCAACAAGACCAACCAAAGGGCTTTACAGCAGAAACAAACAAGCTAAGGACACAGGATAAAATACATAGATCCAAATAGGTAATGATAAATGACTAGCATTATAGAAAACAGAAAAGTTAAAATCAACTCACAGTGTTAAAAGCCAGGAAATAAAAGTGAGTTTTCAAACATGACTTAAAAACAGTGAGAGAGGGAGCCTGCCTGGCATGCAGTGGTAACTTATTCCACAGTCTTGGACCTGCAGCAGAGAAGGCTCTGTCACCTCTGAGCTTAAAACAAGTGCCTGGAACCAATAAAAGCATCTCGTCTGCTGACCTCAGAGAGCGCTGTGGGACATATGGCTGCAGCAGATCAGTGCGATAGGAGGGGGCAGAACTGTTCAGAGATTAAAAAACATACAGAAGGATTTTAAAATTAATTTGAAAGTGAACCAGGAGCCAGTGAATGGAGGCCAGAACTGGAGTAATGTGCTCTCTTTTCTCTCTAGTTAAGAATCAGGCTGAAGCATTTTGAATCAGTTGTAATTGTGCAATGGAGTTACGGCTGATTCTAAAAAGAAGCGCACTGCAGTAATCAAGCCTGGATGTTTGAAAGCATGTATTACTGTCTCAAGGTTACTTTTGGACAGTATGGGCTTCAATTTAGACAGTCGCCTTGACTGAAAAAACAAAACAAAACAGGATTTAACAATTGTGTTTACATGACTGTTTAGTTTCATGGAAGGGTCCATTTTCACTTCCAGACTAGTGACTACTTGTTTCTCTAATGGGGCTAGAAAGGAAAGGTTGATAGAGTGGTTCTTGATTGTGCCATTAGGAGGAAACAACATGACTTCTGTCGTCTTCTCATTAAAATTTAAGAAATTTATAGCCATCCATTCCCTGCTGTCAGCCAGGCAGGCAAGAAGAGGTTGAATAGAACATGCACCAGTGTGCTTCAGTGGGAAGTAAATTTGACTGTCATCGGTGTAGCAATGAAAAGGGATGTCGTGTTTACGAAAAATAGCACCTAGTGGTAACAGGTATAAAGAAAAGCGAAGAGGACCGAAAATGGACCCCTGCAGTACCCCGCACCGAAGAGCTGCCGATGTTGAAATAAAATCATTGACTTAAGACACAAAATGTTCTGTCAGAGAAGTAGGATCTAAACCATTTGAGGGCTGACCCTGTGATGCTCACCCACTGCTCCAGCCTAGAAATGAAGATCTCATGGTCATTGATGTCAAAAACAGATGTAAGGTCCAATAGGACTTGCAGCACAGAATCACCTGCATCCGTGACTAGGGAAATATATATATGAACCTGTGTGTTTGCCCCATCAGGTCTACAGATTGTGTTGAACTCCATCATGAAGGCCATGGTCCCCCTCCTCCACATTGGTATGCTTGTGATGTTCGTCATCATCATCTACGCCATCATCGGCCTAGAGCTATTCATCGGCAGGATGCACAAGACGTGCTACGACATGAGCACAGGTCTCAGCTGCTAGCTTGAGCTTACACATTTTCCATGTTTCCATGTTTGTAACTCAGTCCCTGAGAGTCTGATGGGTACGTCCTGCTGCAGGTCTCATGGTAGAAGACGACTCGAGTCCTTGTGCTTTCGCCGGCGTTGGGCGTTTCTGTTTGAAGAATGGAACAGAGTGCAGGGGGAAGTGGGAGGGTCCCAATGGCGGGATCACAAACTTTGACAACATTTTCTTTGCCATGCTCACAGTCTTCCAGTGCATCACCATGGAGGGTTGGACAGATGTGCTCTACTGGGTACGAACAGCCACCATTTTCAAGCTTAATCTCTTTTTTTTTATTGGCTTACAGAAAATACTCACCTGTGCTTTCTGTCTCTGTTCCTCTGCACAGATGAACGATGCCATCGGCTTCGACATGCCATGGATTTATTTTGTCTCTTTAGTCATTTTTGGCTCATTTTTCATCATCAATCTTGTTTTGGGTGTGTTGAGCGGGTGGGTACGGGCTGCACTGCAGACTTCAACGTTATTTTTAGATTTAACGTGTTACTAAATAAAACCCCTAAGCACATATGTTAGTTAAGCTTGTGGCATGTATTCATGTTTACAGAGAGTTCTCCAAGGAAAGAGAGAAGGCCGTGGCACGTGGTGAGCTGCAGAAGGCGCAGGAGAGCAAACAGATGGAGGAGGACATGATCGGCTACATGGACTGGCTCATAGAAGCTGAGGATGTGGACGAAGAAGGAAACAAACGTTGGTTAAATGCACCTTTCTGCTGAAATATTCAAAAACATATGTACACTTGCAGTGGTATCAAATCTGTCTCTGTGCCTTTGAAGGAGCTGCTATTGCAAAGAAAAAGATGATGAAGAAGTTTGGCTGGTACAAGCACAGTGAGGATGGAGGAGGTATGACAGCAGTCATCAGAGGGCTGTTTACTGGTTTGGTCTGGTCTTACAGTCTGTGTTTGTGGCTTTTCAACAGAGTCAGACTCTGATGATGATATTGCATATCTCGATGATGACAGTGGCTTCTGTGCTTCACTCATGTAAGACAACAGAAAAGATGGAGAACTTTTTAAATTTATCATCACCAGAAGATTTACCTCTTTTTAAATCTTTGTCTTTTCTGTTCTTTTTTTCAAGGGCAAAGATGATGGCCAATAGCTTCTGGTGAGACTTTCCATCTAAGATGTAAAAGCAGTATATAATGTCTATTTTTTATTACAGTAGTTTGTTATTTTGGTCTAAATAATGGAATGTGTTTGTGTTTAATTCATGTCCAATTATCATATCAGACATAAAACATATTAAACTCAATTGTTTGAGCTTGCTATTATAAGATTTCTGAGAGCAAAAAATGTTTAATTAAGTTGATCAGGGTATTGATGCCTTTAAATTTACTGCTTTGTTGACATTTTTATATTTTTTTAATTTAATTTGATCTTCTATTTGTGTCGATGCTGATGGGGAGAATTTGTAGTTGGTAAATCAACAAAGAATCACCCAGCGTTCATCATTTTACACATAAAATACTGACACCCTTTATCCATCCATCCATTCCTTCCTCCCTCCCTTCCTTTCTTTATTCATGGTCTGGTTGTGGAGGCATCAGGTCCAGAATGGAAACCCAGACACCCCCTCCCCAGCAACTCTTTCCAGCTCCTCCTGCCAAGGCGTTCCCAGTTCAAAGACAACACACAACCCTTCCAGCGAGTTCTGTGTCTGCCTTGTATCTCCTCTTAGTGGGATGTGCCCAGAAAATCTCCAAAGGAGGCACTAATCAGATGTCCACCTCAGCCGACTCCTTTCATTATGGAGGAGCAGCTCTCTGATCTGCCTTTAATGATGGCCTAAGCCTGACCACTCTTCTGTCCAGGAGCTGCGTCTTTCTGCCGGGATTCACAAGGAACATAGATGGACCAGTAAACTGAGGCCTTTACTTTTTGACTCAGCTCTTTCCTCGCCACATCAGAGCAGAGCAATGCTTTCGTTACTGCAGACAAAACCCTGATCTCTTGATTAATTCCTGCTATCAGTCATGAACAAGATTTTCTGATGTTTGAGCACTTTGGTTGAAGCAACACTAAACTAATCCTACCTACAAACATGTTGAGTTCTACACCTTTCCCTCTAGATGCACTTTAACATGTAACTTTAAACATTAAACATATAACATACAACAGCTCAGTTGTGTGATGTTTTTCGGCACATTTTTCACCTGAGCCTGAGCATGAGGTGGTCCATGGTCCCTGCTCTGCAGAAAACAACATGCCTGGTCCAGGTGCCAAAAGACAACCACCCAAACTAACACAGTGACTACAAACCTGTGGTCTTGACATCGCACACCTGGCCATGGCAGGAAGCACTGTAAGAGTCATGTTCTTTGACATTTCCAGTGCTTTTAACACCATAAGACTTGCTCTACTCTGCAGTAAGCTCCTGGACATGCAGGTGAATGACTCACTGGTCACATGGATTGGAGACTACCTCACAGGTCGACCACCGTATGTGACGCTGCAGGACACCACCTCGGACACCATACTGAGCAGCACAGGGGCTCCTCAGTGGACGGTCTTCTCGCCGTTTCTGTTCACCCTCTACACCTCGGACTTCAGGTACAACTCACAATCCTGCCATCTGCAGAAGTTCTGGATGACTCTGCCATTGTGGGCTGCATCACTGGTGACCAGGAAGCTGAATACAGAGGTGTGATGGACAGCTTTGTGGAGTGGTGTGGACAGAGCCACCTGCAGCTCAACGTTGGAAAAACTAAAGAGCTACAGGTGGACTACAAGAAGAATACCATCCCCCCAACCCAATCAACATCAAGGGTACTGAGGTGGAGACTGTGGACTGCTACAAGTACCTGGGGGTCCACATAGACAATAAACTGGACAGGACAGCTACCACCAACGCCCTCTACAAGAAAAGACAGAGTCGCCTTTTTCTTCTGAGGAGACTCAGATCCTTTAACATCTGCAGGACCATGCTGCAGATGTTTTACCACTCGGTGATCTCCAGTGTCTTCTTCTATGCTGTGGTGTGCTGGGGCAGCAGGGTGGAGAAGGCTGATGCCAACAGACTCGATAAACTCATCAAGAGAGCTGGAGCTGGTTCATTTCTGAAAGTGGACCTGCAGTCTCTGACAGGTGTCTGAGCAGAGGATGCTGAGGAAACTGCTCCAGATTCTGAACTACACGTCACACACCCTGCATGACACACTGGACTCTTACTGCAGCACCTTCAGTCTTATACTGAGACCACCAAGGTGCTCCACAGAACACCACAGGAAGTCCTTCCCTCCTGTGGCTATCAAACTTTTCAACTCCTCCCCCTTTCTACACATAGGACAATAAAATTAATCCTGTACTACAATAAACATTTTAATGTTTCTGTCTGCACCTGACCTGTTTTAGACCTTAATTGTTGGTATTTTTATATTCTGTTTTTTTTTTTAACTTCTGTTTTTTTTTTTTATTTTATATCTTGTGATTCCTTGTGTATGTTACTTTGTACTGAAACGGGCACAACAATTTCCTATGGGATCAATAAAGTTCTAACTTTTATCTTTATTCTCTTTTTTCTTTCAGTGACCAGCTGTGCCAGCTCAACCATACTTTTAGAAAGAACTGCCGTGTTGCAGTGAAGACCACCAACTTTTACTGGTTGGTGCTGCTGCTGGTGTTTCTCAACACTGTGGCCAGTGCCTCGGAGCACTACGGCCAGCCCAAATGGCTCACAGAAATGCAAGGTAACAAATTAACCACCTTACTTTTCTTGGTCTCAATGATGATTATTGACTTATGAGGAATCACTCATGTGACTTTTCTGCCCCTCAGAGCGAGCCAATAAGGTCCTGCTGCTGCTCTTCACTCTGGAGATGTTGATGAAGATGTACGCCTTTGGTTTTCAGATCTATTTCATGGCTCTGTTCAACCGTTTTGACTGCTTTGTGGTGTGCGGCGGCATTCTGGAGACGCTGCTTGTGGAGCTGGATGTCATCCCGCCCATCGGCATCTCTGTGCTGCGCTGCATCCGACTGCTCCGGATATTCAAGATGACTCGGTGAGTGGAGGCAGAAAAGAACTCTAGAGGAGCGCTCCCTTATTGAAATCAGTTTCTGATGCGTATTCACAACTTCTGATGATTTCCAGGCACTGGGCTGCCCTCTCTGACCTTGTTACCTCACTGCTCAACTCCATGAAAGCCATCTGCTCCCTACTGCTCCTGCTCTTCCTCTTCCTCATCATCTTTGCTTTGCTGGGTATGCAGCTGTTCGGAGGGAAATTCAACTTTGACGACACGCAGATGAAGAGAAGCACATTTGACTCGTTCCCTCAAGCTCTGCTCACATGTTTTCAGGTGAATTATATCTCAGACCTCATTAACTTGTGTACGATGACATAATAAAACATCCTTGTGATTGTGCTGTCCTGTTTTACTGGTTGTTTTGTTGCAGATCCTCACTGGAGAGGACTGGAACGCTGTGATGTACGATGGCATCATGGCATATGGAGGGCCAGTCTTCCCCAACATGGTGGTGTGCATTTACTTCGTCATCCTCTTCGTCTGCGGTAACTGTATCCTTTTCTGTGATCTGATTAAGACGCCACAACTTACAGGTGGTTGTAAAAACGATTCACCCATTCCTTAGGGACCATTTTAAAGCAGACACTACACAGAGCTGGTCTTTATGGAAGAGTTGCCAGAGAAGCATGTTGCTTAAAACAAAAGAAACAAAAGCAAGATCAGCTGTTTGGAGTATCTTCTCCAAACACGTGAAAGACGGTGCTGTTCTCAGACGAGTTAAAACTTGAACTGTTAGGACATCAAGGACAGCAGCATGTCTAAAACCTCCCATTCTGTGACAAGAATCAGGTTTAGGGATCCGAACCAGATGGCGCAACTGGTAGAGCTGCTGCCTCTCAGCGAGCAGGTCCCTGGTTCAAACCCCGGTCCAGGGGCCTTTCTGGGTGGAGTTTGCATGTTCTCTCCGTGCATGCGTGGGTTTTCTCCGGGTACTCCGGTTTCCTTTCACAGACCAAAAACATGCATGTTAGGCTGATTGGTAACTCCAAATTGTCCCTAGGTATGAATGAGAGAGCGAATGGTTGTTTGTCTCTATGTGGCCCTGTGATGGACTTGCGACCCGTCCAGGGTGTATCCGGCCCCTCGCACAGTGATTGCTGGACATGGGCACCAGCGACCCCCGTGACCCAAAATGGAATAAGCAGGTAAAGAAAATGGATGGATGGATGGATGGATCCGAACCAGATCACAGACAGCAGGAAGGTTTAAAAGATTTATTAATAAACTGCTTCTGGTGGAGGTCTTAGTCCTTGGGCCGGTACAATCTGAAGAGATAGCGGAGTTAATGAGCAGGAGTTCAATAGAAATCTTCAGATTGTTCTGATGACAGTCAACCTTCACAGATAGATGAGGGAGCGATTCCTTGAAGGAGTTGGTTCTGGTCACTTCACCGGTGGTGAAGATGAGCCGGCTTTGAGACCGAGCTGAGCAGGGAGCAGCAAGGAGGGAAATCCAAACGGCAGGTTCAGAGAAACAGACTAGGTCGATACACGGGTGGTCAGAGATCCGAAGCCAAACTTGAGACAAGATCCAAAAGTTGTGGTCGTTATAGAGGAAGCCGAGGTCATTTCCATAAGCAGAGCAGATAATCCAAAACAGACAGGCAGAGAGCAAGGCGAGGAATCTGTGGAGCAGGCGTGAGGTCAAAACCAGGAAGACAAACGAGACTATGGCATGAATGCTGGACATTTACTCACTGTGAGGTTTTCAATACTCTGGCACTGAGTAGAGTGACTGTGGGGTTTAAGTAAAGGGAAAAACAGGTGAGCTGCATGAGGGCTGATTGCAGTGACTCAGCAGAGTGGGTGTGGTTAAGTGAGCAGGCAGAGGTGCATGTTGACAGGAGATGAGAATAATAAACATGAACAGAAACTATGACCAGAAGAGCAGAAAACGTGACATTCTGCTGAGAAAAACAAACTCACGATGGAGCACAGTGGTGGCAGCATCATGCTGTGGGGATGGCTTTCATCAACTGGGACTGGGAAACTGGTCAGAGTTGACTTTTCCAGAGATTTTAAGACTGAGGCAGACAGACATTGTTAATCCCAGGGGGGAAATTCAAGAATCCACGGTCCTTGTAGGGATTGAACCAGATTCAGGCAGACACGAGCAGCGTGACAAAAATCCAAGTTGTTTATTATATAAATGTTGTTTTTTTTTAAAGCTGACGTAAAAGACAACCAACAACTTACAAAACACAGGGGAGCACAAGAGGAGGACCGAGACGTCATACTGGTAGCCTGGACAATGAACTGGTGCCTGGGTGACCAGAGACAGTTTAAATAGGACGGGCTCACCCAGGGGGCAGCACCTGGGTGATTACTAATTGGAAACAGGTGTGAGTGGTAACTGACTGAAGGCGAAAATGAGAACTGACAAAGAAAGACAGGGAGCTTAACACAACATAAAAATAAATCATAAACCTCAAGAAGAAGTAAAACTGAAAGAAAAAGTAAATAACTGAAAAACGCAGCCTGTGACAGCACGAAGGTCCATCTTCCAGCAGGACAATGACCCTAAACTCACTGCCTCAGCAGCACTCCACAGGTTTACAGAAAACAGCTAAATGCTCTGGATTGGTCCAGTCAACTCCCAGATCTCAATCCAACTAAAAATATCTGGTTTGATTCAAAGATTTTTGAAAACAAGCAGCACCCATCCACCCCGAAAGAGCTGCAGCAGATTTGTCATGAAGACTGGACAAAACCTCTGGAGGTTAAACGTGTCGAGCTCAAACAAACCCAACTGAAACAACTTGCTACCAAAGGTGGCTCTATGAAGTACCTGTAATTTCTGAGCTATCAGCCTGTACTTTTTTCACATGATTTGAACACTGCAACTTATACAATGCTGCGGCTAGTTTATAATTTTTTTTTTTTTTTTTGACAGGCTAACGAGCTTCATTCCACCAAAACATTTAGCCTCGTCACACCTGGGCACTCACATAGCTGCCCAATACACGCCTCTTTTTGGGGGTGTGCCCTCATGACTCAATGAGACTACCTGCATAAATGAAGGTAAAGAAAAACTGACCAATGAAATCACCCAACAGGTCACACTGGGGAGGGGCGTAACCTTCGTTTCCCCTCCTCCCTGTTCTCCCCTCCCCCTCCCCGCAGGAGTTCCCCCCCTCGTTGTACACAACAACGTGTCTGCAGCCACGTGAAAGTGTGAATAGTAAATCAAATCGCAAATTTGCCTCGCGACGAAAGTGACATTGAGAGCGACAACAAAAGAGAGACTGAGGACGTGTGTGAAGTTTTTTCGAGGCTGTTCAATTCTGACACTGAAGAAAACGACTTTTGTGGTTTTAGTGCACAGGAGGAAGATGAAGATAGCAATCAGTGTGTTTCCTGGTAGGCTACTGCATTTTTTACCCGCCATGTTACAGGTGTTTAGAAAAAACATTTACAGTACGTATTTGTGTATGTTACCGGTACGTATCTAATTAAAAGTTTTTAAAAATCTTTCTGTATAAATACAGTAGTCCCTCGCTACTTCACAGTTTGTTTATCACGGATTTGCTCTATTGCAGTTTTTCAAAATTAGATTGAACATGACACACAATTGGCTGACTGGTGGATGAGTCGCACGATGGGCATGACGTTTTTATTTAAAATAAATTATTTTAAATTATTTAGCACCTGCTGCACAGTTGTGCAGCCCATGCTGCAGGATAAACTTCCTGTTGCAGTTAAACAGCTGATCAGATGTTCTTTGTGCAGAGCGGAGAAGTGGGCGTGGCCAAGAGCACTTGCAGGTGGCAAAGAGCAGAGGAGGCAGGGAGCTGAAATCATGACATTCTGTGCTGTTTTAGAGATTTTAGAGTTTAGAAACATTGTTTAGAACATTGCAAGAGTGTGGGAAGGGTTTAAATGCCTTTATATATCTATATAAATAATAAAATAAAGTACTACTTACTACTTGTACTACTATTCCTACTTCATGGTTTTTCACTTATCGCAGATTTTCAGGGTACGGATCCCCTGCGATAAACGAGGGACGACTGTATCTCATATTACAATGTGGACACTTGTGGCTTATACACAAGTGCGACCTAAATATGTACTTTTTTTTTCTTTTAAATTTAGTGGGTGCGGCTTATATTCAAGTGCGCTCAATAGTCCAGAATTTTCTGTGTTTAGGGGGATGGAAGATATGCACACGCTCTTTTTCAGTTTGACATTTTTCAGATTTGTTTAAAATGTTTTTTTCCCCATTTAATTGCAGTAATCTGGAATATTTTTCAGGATCAAAATCTGTTTAAAATTTAGATTGCAAGGCAACAAAATAGGTAAAATACCAAAAAGGGCAAAAACCTCGCCAACGTGATGTATTTCTGATCTTAGCACAGCCTGAACTTTATGAAATCATCCCAGCAGAAACAAATGTGACTCCTTAATTTCGATATCAGACATCCTGCTCAACGTCTTCTTGGCTATCGCTGTGGACAACTTGGCAGGAGGCGGCGGAAAGAAAAAAGTCGAGTAAGTTGTAAAAAGCAACAAGATCAGACACATCTCTGTTTCTCTCATTCTTTTATTTTCTGCTGTTTTTTTATTTAATGTGATACTCATTCAGGGAGAAAAAGGAGGAAGAAGAGGAGTGGGATGAAGATGAAGAGAAAGAAAATGAAGATGAAGGGGTAGAACATCTCTAAATCTAACTTCAACACATTTTACATTTATGTTCATCCAGTTTAGGATGGACAGAGCAGGTGATTTTTAACATTTTTGCTCGTAGAACGAAGAGGATGACTGGCAGGAGAACGAGGAGCTGAGAGCCATCGAGGGACTGGAGGGTGAGTGTGATTGTCAGGAGAAACATCAGCCATATTGACTGAGTCCTGAACTCATCCATCTTGTGTGTCTTGTGTATAGGAGTTGCTCCGTTGAAGCCAGAGTTCTCCGGGCCCAAAGAAAAGATTGTACCGATCCCCGACGGAAGCTCCTTCTTCATTCTTGGAAAGAAAAACTGGTATTTGAAAATACAACATACATTTCACACCAACCCAAGACATCCATGTCACTTCCCTCTCATTTTTATTCATTCCTCAGTTTACGAGTCGCCTGCCACAACCTCATTCACCACCCCTACTTCACCAACTTCATCCTCATCTTCATCATCCTCAGTAGTATTTCACTGGCTGCTGAGGATCCCATCAAATCCCACTCATTCAGGAACATAGTAAGGCTCCTGCAGACGAGCTGTCATGCTGTCCGAGTTATAATCCTCAGGAGTAGCCGAACTGAAAGCTGATTTAACTTGTGTCACACTCAGGTGCTCGGATACGCAGATTATGTTTTCACTTCGGTTTTCACTGTGGAGATCGTCCTAAAGGTAACAGCTGAACTCAACAATATCAGATCGAAGAGTCTGTGAGAACTGTTCAAATCTTGTCTAATTATGTTTCTTCCATGTGTAGATGACTGTGTATGGAGCGTTCCTGCACACCGGTTCGTTCTGTAGAAATGCCTTCAATCTTCTGGACCTGCTGGTTGTCAGTGTGTCCCTCACCTCCTTCTTTCTACAGTGCGTATGACAGGATTAGCAAAGAAAGACAAACGATTGTCTTAGTTCAGTTTTATATAATTGTTATGCTCATGCCTTTTAAGCATTTTTTTTCTTGTTTACATTTTTGGCTTTTTTGTTTTCTAAATCTTGTCTTGTTGCTTTCAGTTCAAGTGCGATCTCCGTGGTGAAGATTCTCCGAGTTCTTCGAGTGCTCAGGCCCCTTCGAGCCATCAACAGAGCCAAAGGACTGAAGGTAAACAGCTCTGCTCCATCTCATGTGTACCTCTTTATTGCTCCACACCATGACACTTGGTTCAGTTTTATACATACCGAGTTAGAATAAGGTGTGGCAGTAGCTGGGAATCATCTCCAACACAGACTTGGAGCACTAACAGATCATGCAAGATGTGTGCTCAAAACAGTTGTAGACTGGCAACTTTCTGAGAGTTTCATTAAAATCAGTCACATGTGACACGATAACCCTCCATTTATGGTGGTGGGCAATAAAAATTGGGAAGAATCTGGTAACGAAAAAAATCTCAACTCCAATAATTATCAAATTATATACAGTCAGAGGTGCTAGAGCACACGCTATGGTGTAGATGCACCTGTTCTGAGGTCCCAACCGATTCGTTATTATTCAAGCACTATAATGTTTCTGATTCAGTTGCACCAGCTAGAAGGTTATGTACTACGACCCGGTGGTGTAGTCTATATGATACGCAGGTATATGGAGTATAACCACTAGAAAGGCTTGAAAATGTCAGTATACCCACTTAAAAGTGCCCAATGATACGAGTCCATGTCATGTATCATTGACAATGATACAAAACATGTTGAACCAACTCAACGTGTCTATAAAATGTTCCAAATGTGTTGACAATGATACATGGACGTGTATCATTGTCAACACATTTGGAACATTTTATAGACACGTTGAGTTGGTTCAACATGTTTTGTGTATAATTAATACTTCTGTACTTACTACTTACTACTTGAACATGTTGCTTTGATACTGTTTTATAAATTATATAGCATGTTTTTAATATAAAGACAACTGTTATACAAAGTTTGTTCATTTATTCAAATAAAAGCATCAGAAATTTTTGAAATGTTCAATATGTAAAATAAAAAATCAAAATAAATTGACGATTACGTTGTACTAACCGGTGTACTTTGGTTTCTAAGCACAGTATACCCACTACAAAAATGTAGACTACACCACTGCTATGACCATACTGTGTTTGTGTACTCATGGCTACCAGGGGGGGAACAAAAACAGCAGAGTAACACCAAGAAAGCAAACATGGGGCGAGAGGCTAATGCCATTGCCAGCATCAAAGCTACAAATGACTCTCCAGAGCCAACACCACAGGTGAAGGCAAACACAGAGACATCCACTATTCTTTCTGCTATAATTGATTTGAGTAAGAAGGTGGATGACCGATTTAACAACCTGGAGGCGCCCCTGCAAACTATGCAGTCCACCCTGACCGACCACGAAGACCGGATTTCTACTTTGGGGGCAACTGGCAGCGACCATGATGCTAGTCTGTCCCAGCTAAAACAACAGTGCTTGCAGTTGAAGGAGAGTCACAAACAACTCCAACACAAGATTAACGACCTCAAAGCGCACTCTCGGCGCCAAAATATAAAAGTGGTGGGCTTACCAGAAAGAGCAGAGGGCAACAACCCTGTAGACTTTTTCACCAACTTTCTGCATGATTTGCTGGGTCCTGCTAACTTCCCCACCCCGATAGAGGTTGACAGAGCTCACAGACTGGGACAGCCCCCTGATGCTGGAGCGTGTCCCCATGTCATGATAGCCGGATTCACAAGGAGAAAATACTGTGGCTGGCGCGAGAGAAAACCCCTCTGACATATGACGGGAGACGGATCCTTCCCTTCCCTGATTTTCCGGCAGAGATCATTAGCCATCAGCTATTTGAAGAGGTTAGGAAGAAACTCAAGGAAGCCTGGATGTGCACTGGATTTCATATCATTCATGATAATAAAATAGTTTAAAAAAAAACTTTCCCGGGAAAATAAATTATATCATGATATGCTAATTTCATGGCATAAATACGTCATCCCACCACGCAGCGGTCAGCGGATTACGCTCACGTGGGTCATGAAGCGATATTCAAGTTGTAAAGGTGAAGGCATGAACAGACACGTCTGATCTGAGCGCTGTTTGTCCCGACAGTTTTTGAGCCGGTCAGCGTGAAGGAAGACGTTGCCTTTAGCTTTTTAGCTAGCGCACTGCTAACTTGGAGCTACGTCAGTGCAGGCAGGTGGGGCGGGGGTGCATGCAGTCCGGTTCGGTAGACTGTGAGCTCAGTTCAGTTAACACAGCAGGGCACCCAGCTTGTATAATGGTAGCAGAAACACTGACTATGTATCGACCACCGATTTATGGTCAAGTCGGACCGCGGAGCCTTACCAGAGTCTGACTGTGTACTATATTAACAGCGACTGTGCGACTGCACAGTTGTGCAGCTCAAACCTCGAGACCAGCTGCTTTCCTGAGGATCAGGAAATTGGCTGATGACTGTTCTGATCAGCAGTCCTGTCAGGCAGCATTTCATTTGTTTTCAGCATTTGTCACAAGTTTTGGAAGGTATAGCTCATTTAAAGGCAACGTTTTTTCTTGTAGGTTACATTTATGCTGATCTTAAGCTTTCGTTTTATTTAGTTTTTTTGGGGAACTGCACCTGCACTTTAGTTTTTGTGGTGTATTTTTTTTTCTGTTCTATATTTTGTGCAGAGTTTTTCAACCTAAATAACACAAGGATCATTTTATTTTTTTATTTTTATACTTTGAGACTGAATACTTTACTAAAATAAAGTAACTGCAGTAAAATTAACTTGTTTTTTTTTACTATAATACTGCAAAGCAACATGTTAAGTTAATTTTGTCAAATGAACAGCTGATTTCTTTTTTTTTTTATTATATCACAAAATTTATTGTTATCGTCAGAATTCTCTGAAATATCACAATATTGTGTTTGAGCCATATCGCCCACTCCTACAACAGACTTCTGTGCAGCCTTCACCACTCTCTGCAAGCTTTTCTTTCTGCAGCTGTGCAGCCTCCATGCCATACGTTGATGCAGGAGCACAGGATGCTCTCCACTTAAAATTGCTTAATATTCAGAGAAAACCAAACAGCATATCAACACAACCACCTTCTACCAACTGTCAAGAACAGCGGTGGATGATGATTTGTGTCAAAAGGACTGAGGGGAAATAGAAAACGGCCATCTGGCATGGCCAGTCACAGACTTTAAATTACTGGTAGTCCTGGAAATTGTATTTTCTGTGTTTGCTAAGCTAAAGAGAAAAGTGACCATTCTAACCATGCATGCAGTTCTAAAGCCATCACCTGAGGCAATGCAGGGGTAAATTACTGGTAACTCTGTGAAGGAACCTGTAAGTTTGGATAAGTTCAGCACAACCAGAAGACGTGGAAACAGGGAAGTTTAAAGAGTTGTTAAATATAATTTGTTCACAGCATCCTGGCTGGATTTTATTGTATATATTCACCTTTTCTGCAGCTTATGAGGTCTGTTTTTATAAACCACCTCAAATCAAACACTCTTGTCGTGTGTTTCTTCACAGAATGTGGTGCAGTGTGTTTTTGTGGCGATCCGCACCATCGGCAACATCTTGATTGTCACAACGCTCCTTCAGTTCATGTTTGCCTGTATTGGAGTGCAGCTTTTTAAAGTAAGTTTACACTTTTAGCGTCATGATTTTCATTTCGCTGTTGCTTCTTTTTCTTATCTAAAAGCAAAGTTGTCAGAATTTTGTTAAACTTCTCTGTTTCGGCTGCTTTAGGGGAGATTTTACAGCTGCACAGATGAAGCCAAACACACACCAGATGAGTGCAAGTCAGTTTTCTTTCTTCATACAGTAACAAAGCATTTGGACTATTTTCAACATTTTAATAAAAAGATGAAAAATTGTTTGATTTCAGGGGAACTTTTGTTGTCTACAAGGATGGAGACATGAACCATCCCATGGTTAAGGAGAGACAATGGGAAAACAGTGATTTTAACTTTGACAATGTGCTGATGGGCATGTTGGCTCTGTTCACTGTATCGACATTCGAAGGCTGGCCACTGTGAGTATTAACATCATATTGTTATAATCCAAGGTACAAGGCAAGCATTACTATTTTTTTTATTAATAAATCCACCAGAGTTTAGTTCAACTCTGTAGACTTTGTGCTCTGTCTCTTAGTTGTTTCCCAAAATGTGGTTTAGTTTCCTAAATGAATCAGTTATTTGCTATTCATAGCTGAAACAAGAGTGAAAAGTGCAGCAGTTGCTGCTGTTTTCCTTTAGGCTGTGAGCAAAATGAGCAAACTCATATGAAAGGTTTGGTAATAGTTTTACTCTGGATGCCCTTACCAAGGCTTGAACCTGCAGCCTCAGAATTTCAAGACCACTGTACTGACCACTGAGCTCTTGCAGTCCCCAAGAGTGAATAGTGCAGTTATTTTGTATTATGTTTATTTGTGAATTTATACACAATTGGTATTTTGGCCATAATGTAAGAGGGGATTTCCAAAAGAAGAAACACAGCACTTTCTCATGTTACTGATGGAGCCTCTATGAAATTCCTGAAGATATGTTACACTGAAGTGAATGACTATGTCTTTGCTGGTTTGGGTTTTTTATTGGATTTTTTCCTCCCCATTTTACACACTGACAAAAACTCGAAGCACCCAAAGAACGGTCCAGTTTAAACTTATTTCTAACCTATTTGGTTCTCATGCTAGCCAGCAGTAAATTTAAATGATTCAACTCACAAGTCTGAACTGTCGAGAACAGAAACCTGTGGAAATAGGTGGAGGCATCACGAATTGACAGACTGCGTTATTAGTTAGTTGTCAGAGTGTTCAATAGTCAAAATGGTGAGTAAAGATCAGCAGACACAGAGGATGCATTTTAAACACATTGATTAGACAGTGAGTCACATTGGGGGTTTGCATGAGACCATATGGTTGGTTCATGTAACTGCCCAGCATGTGGGGTGTACAGTACAAATGTCACAGTGCCTTGATGGTAGAACCAATGGGTCTGCAAGGACACTCAAGCACATTGTGAAAAGGTGTTGGTTCCCCAAGATAGACAATGTTTTTTAATGGTCAAGTAAAGCTAACCCACCTCACACTAATTCTCTGTGGTTTTCCGTAGAACTGAGTGGGCAAGATCGTCATAACAAGGCTGCTCGACATTCCTATGATGTAAATTTTTCTACAGTGGAAAACATCAAGGCCATGATGTGACTATTACTCAGTCTATGGTTAATCACACAGAAGCTAAAACTCATTAGAGAAGGTTTATGTTACAAAAAATTAGATTAAGCAAGTTTATGTGCCTGTAGATAATGCTGGATGAAAATGACAAGTTTAAAACAGTTGCTGCCATGACTTGTCCAGTGATGTGTCCCCCTGGCTAGTCAGTGGGTTGCAGGCTGCTAACTTGAGATCATTGGCTTGGCATGGCTCACCTGGAATCTTGGCCAGGTAGGTCCTAAGGATCGAGCTGGAAGCAAGTAGGATTACTGAATGGAAAGCATCTGAACCCGCACTGGGTCAAGTAGGGCTGAGTTGAGCTAATGGGAAAAGGACTTAAGCTAAGATTATCATAATGGACCCCAGGCATTACAGAACCTCATGACATCTGCGCCTGTCATTTAGACACAGACACAGGTATTGAACTCTTTATATCTCTTGTCATCCTGCACTGTATCTAAGCAACTGGCATCAGCCGGACTACAAATTTACTGTCCCATGCATGAGGTGCACTAAAAGGAAGAAGACCATTCATCCATCCATTCATTTTACAGTATTTACCTGCTTCTCCATGCAGAGTTGCTGCAGAGCTGGGGCCTCATGTACAAAGAGTGTGTACACACAAAAACGTGGCGCATGCGCTTTTCCACGCAAAACTTCAGATGTATCAAGAATGAAATGACCGTGGAAATGTGCGCAGCCCCTCACCAACTTCATGGCTGGTGCGCTTTTCTATGGTTATTGGTCCAGTGGTGACAACTTAGAGGGCATACTGGGAAACTGTTAATGATGAGAAAACTTACTGTTCACACCGGACACACATGATGAACAATTAATACATTCACATGTGCACAATTAGATAAGTGGATATACAAGCATGCACAAAGTGGTGCAGAAAAATACCATTAACAACAATGGGTTTTTATTAGAGGGTACAGCAAATGGTGCAATACACAGAGAGCGTGGCTTTTCTGGCCCATGATGACAACTGGCATATCAGACATTTTAGACCTCCAAGGGCAATCCTTTGGGGACCGTGCTTGGAGCTGTGACCGGTCTTGGAGTGCGACACAGCGAGGAGCCGTGCACTGCCCATACACATACAGCTGCTGACCACACTGGGGTTCTCAGCAACAGGGTCATTTCAGAGGGAGTTGGTAGACCCTTCCTGAAACAGAACCCTGATACAGACTTTTAAAAAGACTACTTGTCCCCACATGGTGTGTTGGTCAAAAGGTCTGCTGCATCATATTAAGGTCTTTTAATTGCCAGACAGCTCCTTCAGTCTTTGTCCACATGAGGACATGGGTAAGATCAGCTCAGACAACAACAATGACCCAGTATCAATCTGCTGCATCTTCAGTTACATCAGCTGTGGGCTGACTCGCAGCAGTAGAGAATATCACGATTGTACGATTCCGTTATTCACCAAATTGTATCCTGACTTTAGAGAGCCATGACCCACTAACTTCCAGTGTTGGTCAAAAGAGTCTGGGACCAGCAGGTTTCCTGTTCAGTTATTCATTAGACCTGACATTATAAACATTAAAATACAGTCATATGACCTTTCAATGTGTGTGGTTTAATGTAATTTTTTACCACTCTGTCATGGGTCTCTCTCAGTGACTAGTTTAATCCAGATTACCACAAGCTTTATTTTACAACATATTTATTTTTTAAATTAAAGTTTGGTCAAATGAACTCATGTCCTCTTCTTGTTGTTTTCCCCGTGTGAATTTATTAAGGATCCTGTACCGGGCTGTGGATGCTAACGCCCAAAATCGAGGCCCTATTTACAACTACAGAGTAGAAATCTCCATCTTCTTCATCATTTACATCATCATCATCGCTTTCTTCATGATGAACATATTTGTGGGTTTTGTCATCATCACTTTCCGAGAGCAAGGAGAGGCTGAGTTCAAAAACTGTGAACTCAACAAAAATCAGGTTAGCTGTTTAGGATACATTTGATTTATTTATTTAGTTCTGATATGTGTGCTTATTAAGGCAGGACATGTTTTAATGTTGTTTTGAAAATGTATTTACTGTTTTTTGTTTCCCCAACGTCAGCGTCAGTGTGTGTATTATGCACTGAAGGCTCAACCGATCAAGATCTACATCCCAAAGAACCCATCGCAGCTGAAATTCTGGAGAATCATCAACTCCAGCCAGTTTGAGTATGTCATGTTTGTGCTGATCCTGGGAAACACGCTCACTCTGGCCGTGCAGGTAACACTTATCTCTGATCCACCAGAAGCTACAGAAGTCTTCTGTTTCATGTCAGACTTTGTTCTTTTTCTCCCTCAGCACTACGAACAGTCCAAACTGTTCACCTCCGTCATGGACATCCTCAACATGATCTTCACTGTAGTTTTCACTATCGAGATGATCATTAAGCTGATGGCTCTGCGGGCGCATGTGAGGCTTCAGACTGAGGTTCCTGATCACCTCAACTCCTCTGTTTGTGTCGTTGACTTGTTTGCTTATTTCATCTGTGCAGCACTATTTCATCGATCCCTGGAACTCATTTGATGCGCTGATTGTCGTGGGGAGCGTGTTGGACATCGCTGTGTCTGAACTGAGTGTAAGTTTGTCGTCACCTTCTAGAAGCAGACAAGTGGAAAAGCCTTCAATCAAAGTCACGTGTCAAATTCAAAGTCTGTGGACCAAAGCCTGTGCTTGCTACAGTTTTATCAGGCCAACAAAATAACACTTTAAAAGTATTTGGTACAATCCAATAAAAATGATAAAATGTGAAGATTTAAAAGAAGTCCCCAAAAGTTCCTTGACAGGTAGCTCACATCAAGCTTCTTTGATGTCGACTTTAAAGGTAATCAAGTTTGTTATCCCCCTTTGTAGAGTGGAAAGGGGACTTGGAAGTTATCTCCATTCATCCATATTGTGAGCTGGATAACTTGAAAAATAAGTGAAGTACCGACCTCCATTTTGGTGCGGCTGCATCTCGGCATAAGAAAGGTCACAATCAAAAATTGCATTGCCACATCAAAATCCAAGATGGCCACCACCATACACATATATAAACTGACCATTCTGATCATTTGAGGAAGCTATGCTTTCTATTTTTATATTGCTTAAAAGTATAGTTTCCTCAAATGACTGGGTGGACAAAAATTAATCTATAGTGGCCATAGCCACCATTGGCTACCTCCTGGCTCCAACATTGCTCCTGGTAGTGGATAAAGTTGTTCCCTCTGCTCACCAGGATCCATCACTCTGCTCTGCCTCGAACAGGCAAAATCTTGGTTTTACTACACAGTGTAACTCTTATCCACTTGAAAATGGATTATTTCCCTCTGTCTCAACTCTCATCAGCTCTTAAATGGCACCATTTAAGGGCCTGCCCACTGTCAGTACCCACCCCCACTCAGCTTGGTTTATGGGACCACCTTGTTTCAGGTTCCAAGCAGGCTGCTCTGAGGGGCCAGTTTTGACGTAAGCAGACCTGTAATACCTGACGTAATTGGCCTGTGGTGTTATGTCACTGGATGACCCGTCCAGCAAAACTGCAAACTACATCTGAATCTCCACTTCCTCTCTGATCGTGTTGATGAACAATGCTACAAGAAATGAGGGCAGAGAGATACCAGCGATGATGGCATCTTATAATGGCAGACTTATAATCAGTGCCAGGATAAGCTAAATAAATTCAGATTATAGGGCTACGAAGTACCACAACAGGTGAAGTGCCTTGAACACAAGAGCAGTTACGATCCCACCCACTTTTCATTGATGGTCCCGCCCACAGAGCAGGGAAACAGCTCAGCATCCACTGTAGTGGCAAACCACCTGAGAAGAACCAAGAAGAGGAGAGGCACACTTACCAATGGTAAAGCGGCATATCTTGCACCAAAAACATTAAGGCTTACAGTCCAGAGTCCAGAAAAACACTTATGTTTAAAACTACAAACATTCATTATTCATATCCTTCAGTGACGGGACATCAGTGTATCGCTTGTTTACGTGCAAATGCCATGTGCACAAAAAAAATCAAACAATTGTCATTTTGTGTGCATGCAGCATTTTATATGCACGCTTTGATAAAATATGAGCTTGAAGGTTTTTACCAATCAATTGTCCATCATGAAGTTCCGACTTAAGTAAAGGACATTTTTGCATTCTGCCAAATCTACACTTGACTGAATATAAGTTTAAAAAAATATATATATATATATAAATAAAAATACTAAAAGTAGCAGTAGCAACACTTTGCATGAATATTTTCTATGAATGAGACAGAGATTTTTTTAAATGTTTTTTGAATTAATTCATTTAATTTTCTTGTTTAATTTTTACGTTTCTGTCTGTTGTTATTTGACCCAGGGAGGAGGCGGCCATGGTGAGGTGAGAGACAAACATGGGTTATGTTTCAGAATGGAGAAACTTTTAAACACGTTCTATAGTTTAATCTGCTGCTGACCATGCTGCCTTTGTCACAGGGTGGTGGGAAAGGAGAACATGGAAAAGTGTCCATCACTTTCTTCCGTTTATTCCGAGTGTTGAGGTTGGTGAAACTTCTCAGCAAAGGAGAAGGCATCCGCACTCTTCTCTGGACTTTTGTCAAGTCCTTGCAGGTCAGTGAGTCCACGGGGTCAAAATGTTGCCTCCAGTGTGTTTTTTAGGACAATTTTCTTATTTAAAAAAAAAGGACAATTTTCTTATTTGTCACTTTTTATCTTCCCAGGCTTTACCTTATGTCGGCCTCCTCATCGCCATGATTTTCTTCATCTATGCAGTGATTGGCATGCAGGTAAATCTCAGTGAAAGTGGCTGCTTTGCATCAGAAATGAGTCAAAATGTTTTTATCAGCTGCAGCTGAAAGGCAAGAGTGGACAATAAAGTTTTTTTTCTCATGTTTGTCTATCTGTAAATAAAGTATGTTATAAACTGTTGAATGGATTTTATTGAAACTTTAATAAAGTGATGATTGGGTGTCCATCTACAACTGATTAACCTTTGGAGCCCTTCCAATTCAAGATGGCCGTCACAGCCATTTAACCCTAGGATTGATTATAATTGTCAGTTTAATAGATGTTAGGCTACAATTTTATGTGGTAGTAGCTGAGAGTAATTGACAACACGCACTTTGAATGTGACATCTGATAATATCGCAGAAGATTTTGTATGACCTTATCCACAAAGTTTGACCAAAACGGCTACCGCGCCATCATTTCTCAACATGAAATGATTTCAGCCTGAAACTTTGAAAGGTCGCAGGCGATTTGCATTGAGTCAAGAAATTCTAGGCCTTTACGTTATAACTGTTAAAAAGCTAAAAGTTCAAATTAAAAATAAAAACAAAACTGTGTCAAAAACAGAAGACAGATTTAATAAACTGATTTTTTTTTTTTGCCTTTTAGATGTTTGGAAAAATAGCTATTGATGACAACACAGAGATCAACAGAAACTGCAACTTCCAGACTTTCTTCATGGCCGTTCTGGTCCTTTTCAGGTGAGACATTTTAACCAGTGAGAAAGATTTAACACATTTAACAGCACTTTCAAACCTTCGCTTTCATTTGGTAAGGGCATTTTTGGCTTTTTGACGCCAGTTTTAAATAAAGATGCAGCATTTTCTTCCACTAAGGGAGTCCTGTTGTCACGTCTGTCTTGTATGTTCTCAGGTTTTGTTTGTGATTGTGTGGGTGTAATTAAAAACACTGGCCTGTCCGTGTCTGAGTGCAGGTGTGCCACCGGGGAGCAGTGGCAGGAGATCATGTTGGCCGCCCTGCCCGGCAGACGCTGTGACCCCGAGTCTGAAATCGAGCCAGGAGAAGAGTTCACATGTGGAAGCAATCTGGCCTACATGTACTTCATCAGCTTCTTCATGCTCTGTGCTTACCTGGTGAGTGAAGCAGATGAAGGCCTCTAAATTTAGCTGTAATTAATTCAAATCCATGGTTTGCTGACAGTCAGGTCGAGCTGGCTCTACACCTTCTGAAAAGAGAAATGACAGTTTTACACTCAAAACATGCTGGCAGTTTTTAAAATGTTACCAAGCCTCCTCTGACTTCCAGATCTTTGATGAACTTTTCATCCATGGATTTAAAAAATTCACGATGCTCACCACCTGCATCACAAGATTTAAAGTGGTGCACATGCTAATACACGGAATGGGTCAAATGAAGGTGACTTGGTGCGAGCGAGCCAATCCCTGGTTCAAATCGGGGGTGGGGGGGGGGGGGCGTGCGTTCTGGATAGAGTTTGCATGTTCTCTCTGTGCATGCATGTGTAATGCATGAGAAATTCAGAAATTCAGGTACTCCAGTTTCCTCCCACAGACCAAAAACATGCATGTTAGGCTGAATGGTAACTCTAAATTGTCTCTAGGTGTGAGTGAGAGAGTGAATGGTTGTTTGTCTCGTTTGTCTCTATGTGTCCCTGTGATGGACTGGAGACCTGTCCAGGGTGTACCCCGCCTCTCGTACAGTGACTGCTGGACATGGCCACCAGTGACCCCCCGCAACCCGAAAAGGAAGAAGCGGGGATGGATGGATGGATGGATGGATGGATGGATGGATGGATGGATGGAT